AAAAAAAAAAAAAAAAATTGTCATTACCAAATCAAACTGCTCGATTTAACTCGTTAAGTCGAAAAGATGAAAGTTTATATAATTTTCGCTCGGGCTCGATTACTAGGTTGTTAAGTAGGACTGTGAGGATGAGCTCGGCTCTACTCGTTTACTGAATCATCCGAATATTTGTCACTCTCACAACAGATTCATGCTCGGGCATTCGCATACGCAACGTGTACATCATGTCGGGGGACGACTGCATCGCGGTCAAGAGTGGGTGGGACGAGTACGGCATAACGTTCGGTATGCCCACCCAACACCTAAGCATCAAAGGGCTCACGTGCATCTCCCCCTACTCGGCCGTCATAGCCCTCGGAAGCGAAATGTCGGGCGGCATCCGGGATGTTCGAGCCGAACAAATCAAAGCATACAACTCTGAGTCTGGCGTGAGGATCAAGACGGCGCCCGGGCGTGGGGCCTACGTCAAGAATATTTACGTTCGGGGCATGGAATTGCACACGATTAAATTTGTTTTTTTGATGTCGGGCAATTACAAGTCGCATGCGGATGACAATTACGATCCGAACGCGCTTCCCTTGATAAAGAATATCACCTTTAGGGATGTTTACGCAGACAATGTGAAGATCGTGGGGAATCTTTCGGGGATCACGGGCGACCCGTTTACCAAGCTTTGCTTTTCTAACGTGACGGCTGAGCTGGCGGAGGCAAAGAACTCATTGGCCAACGGTTGGCCAGAGTACCAGGTGGACAAGGACAAGGACAAGGACAAAGATAAGGGCAAGGACAAGGACAAGGATAAGGATAAAAATAAAGACAAGGACAAGGACAAGGATAAAGACAAGGACAAGGACAAGGACAAGGACAAAGATAAAGACAAGGACAAGGACAAAGACAAGGACAAGGACAAAGACAAAGACAAAGACAAGGACAAAGACAAAGACAAAGACAAGGACAAAGATAAGGATAAGGATAAGGAGAAGAATAAAGGAAAGACTGGGGCTTGGAATTGTGAGGATATCAAAGGCGTGTCAAGCAATGTGAGTCCAAAGGCGTGTGATTTGCTGCCCGAGAAGCAAATGGACTGCGATTTTCCGAGTGATACGTTACCTATTGACACTGTTGAGTTGAAAACTTGTTCTGCTAGCTATTGAATTAGTCTGTTGTGGGAAGTGTGTTTGAGAGTGTGGCTTTGGCTTTGATGAAATTATATGTGCGATGGTGATAGAAATGCTTATGATGATATGTAATAGCTACTTTGAAACAAATTAACACATCGTGATAGTAATGCTTATGATGATATGTGATAGCTACTTTAAATCAACACAGTTTTACTTTGTAGGAATATCGAAAGAAAAACTGAGATAAATCTTCACTTGCCTGTTGTTTTTTCTTTGCTGGTTTGTTTATGATGTGGTTATATTCTAATTAGCAGATCAACGGCAGTATAAGTACTTTAACTAGGATATATAATGCCACGGTTTAAAAAAAAATAAAGCAAAAGTTTTTGTATAAAACAACATAATAACTATTATGTGAATGAACAAGTAGTCATACTTAGAATATCAGATGTGTCTTATTTTTGTTTATGTTAGAAAGAAATTTGAGGTCAGAGAGAGGATTTCTCTTCCGGTTGGATGGGAAGATGTGGGTTAGGTGGACACTTAGTCGGGAGGCCAGTGCAAGGTGAAATTACCAAATTCAACTCCGAAGAGTTTGGGTAATTTTACTAAATGACTGAAGTGCGAGCAAGAAAATGGTACTCCAAGGGCAACATAGTAATTTCACATAAAAGACCAACTGCAGGGGTATTTTGGTCCAAAAAAATTGCCACATATCAAGCCAATAGTACCTCATATTTTTATTTTCATGTGTAGGAGAGATATGATTGCATCCTATACAAATGTACATATGAATGGAAAAAAAAAAAAAGATAAAATACTTTTAGTATCTTAAACATAGAGTCATGTCCAAAGATGTCATCAATTTACAGCACATCCCTTCCAATGCACAAGTGGAAGACATTTTAACAAAGCCATTGGGAGTTCAAGCATTTCAGGACAATTTATCCAAGATTAACATGTTGAATATACATGTTCCTCTTGCGGGTATAAGTTGTCATTTGATAAATCTAAAAGTTGGATCAGATTTCTTTCTTTGTAAAACACGTTTATTATTTGTATTTGACCAAAGCCTTTTGATCTCAGTATAAATAGGGAGAAAACCCTAACACATGTACAATACACTTTATTCTTATCCTTCAATGAAATCGCCGCATTTCCTTTTCTTCTTCAATCTCTCTTTCTCTGTTCATGTTCATGATTGATTATGTCATATATATTATCTCTATTACAGTATGTTGGGCTAGTACTTTTATCCAGTTTTAAAAGATTCTTTAAACCCTAACTTTAATTTGTCTATGGATGAAAGAAATTTTATTTATCGTTGATTATTTGAGATGTCGTATTTATTTTATAGATGAGTTGATTCATATTATATGTGTATAATGTTGACGAATTAAGGGTGTGATTTAGTTTGGCCAACTATGTTAATTATTTATTAGTTTAATTGCTAGATTCGAGGCTTTAATCCGTAAGTTATTGCTCTTGTTCCTTAGTAGTAAAATAAGGTTCGTGCATCTCTAAGGTAGCGTGGACATAAGTTAAATGGTCTAATCTTTTGCGTCTGTTGCAATCTATTTTCCTAAATCTATAGAGTTTATTCTAGGTTATCCACTAGTTAGGAACTGAAAAACTATTTCTATTAAATCTTCGTAAGAGAAAATTTGGTTGACAGAGCTTGTTGTTAGCTAGGGTTGGTAACTCATTAGAAATTTAAAGAAGGCGTTGAAATTAATTAACGATAAATTTAGATTGGGTGATAACTGAACCAAAAAACTGGTCTTCTCTCATTTTATTTAATTTTTATTTTCTTTTGTTATTTTTATTTTTATTATTAAAAAAAATCTCCCCTTTTATTTTTTTTTCTTAGTTTTAGTTCAATTAATACGAGATTGTTATAAATAATTTTTACTCCTCGTGGGACTGCTACTATTAGTTAGTAGAGGTTACTCAAAGAAAATTATAAATTTAATATATATATATATATATATACTAGTACAACGCCCGTGTATTACACGGGTGTTTGCTAATTTTTTCCTAAAATCTAAAATTAATGAGAAAAAGTAATTGAAAATTTAAATACCTTATATATATATATATATATATATATATATATTATTATATATTTAGTATGACACTTTTTTATTTGTGCGACTTACTTGTGTTATATTATAATATTTTTTTTATTTACAACATATAACTACATTAAACAAAATATATCACTTGAGAAATAATTTTATTTTTCTAATGAATTTTAATAAATATTATTATTTTTTTATTATTATAAAACTGATAAGAAATACAAAAGTTATCAACTTTTAAAATACATTTACAATTAAATAACTAATTGAAGAAAACAAATCAAAAGTCATGGATATATTAGTCACTTAATGTCTCACTATGTGAAATTACAAATAATTAAAGGATTATATTTATACAAGTGATATTAAAATACCTAAGTTAGCTATTTAATATTTATGGAATGTCCGAACCTAGATTATTAATTATTAATATATCAATATTATTTGTCCAAACCTAATTACGAAGCATGATTCTTTGCCAAGTAGGATTCCGAAACACCAGAAGCAACCATGTAGGCTCAGCGCATTCGAAAATAATATATAGGGAGGATATCCAACCGTCTAAAATGTGCTTAGTGAGAATTGTGTTGTGTTGAACCCTTTGACCGCATGTTTGACTAAAGCTGAACCCTTTGACCGCGTCTAGAGCTTTGATATATCACATCTAAGGGCTATGATTTATTTTTTTATTTCCTTCGATAAGAATCTTTCTCATATGATCACATCTCTCTCTCTCTCTCTCTCTCTCTCTCTATATATATATATATATATATATATATGATGTGGTTCAAATGAGAACCAAGTCCTAGCGTGAGAATCGCTAAATATTGTTGTACGTTGTGCTAGGATTGATTGTGTTTTAGTGTTATTTTTAACATAGATCTATTTTTTAAAAAATAGCAACGCAATTTATATTAGCATTTGTGAAAAATGATACCATCACGTGATATTAAAAATGGCATCATGCATAATAAAAAAAATATCATCAAATATTGTTCTCACGATTCTCACACCACTAGTTTTTATTTGAACCAATCCCTATATATATAGTACGTACAATTTAAAATAATGTTTTGCCCGAGTTTTTCAGTTTTGTGATTGAAATGTCATAATAAATAAATGTTACTCGAGATTTTGTTCTTTTTGGTAAATCGTACTTGAAAATCGTTTAACAACAGCTGGAAGACTAATACGTAAAAAGTAGTAGAGAGTCAACTTTATCAGTCCAGAGCCAAGCATCAAAGGAGATTACCCAAAGAAAGATTAATTCGCATGAAACTCGAAATCATGACGAATTACTCTAAACAGCTAAACGACACAAAAATACACACCCAGTGGAAAACTAATACGTAAAAAGTAGTACAGAGTTGGCCGCGTGTCGCGACGCGACAAATTTAAATTTATAAGTTTTCCTTAACTAACCTCTACTAACTAGTAGTAGCAACGAGTAAGGGTCGATCCCACGAGGAGTGGGAACTAAGTTGTGAGATTCTCGTATTAATTGAATTAAAAACTAAAAAAATAATAGGAAGGGGGAGGGGGGGGGTTTATTTTATAAAAATAAAAATAGCAAAATAAATAAAAATTAAATAAAGTAAGAGAAGTTCAGTTTTCGGTTCAGTTATCACCCAATCTAAATCTACCGCTAATTAATTTCAACGCCTTCTTTAAATTGCTAATGAATTATCGACCCTAGCTAACAACTAGCTCTGTTAACCGAATTTTCCCTTACCGATTATTTAATCGAAATAAGTTCTTCGACTAAACATAAATAGCGGACAACCTAGAATAAACTGTCTAGATTTAATTCACTAGCTGCATTAATTCCTAGGAAAATAGATCAGTCTAAGCAACGGTCGCAAAAGATCGGACCATTTAACTTATGCTCATGTTACCCTAAGGATGCACGACCCCTAGTTTACTACTAACGAAACGAGAACAATAACAATTACGATTAAAGACTCGAATCTATCAATTAAACTATGGATATTCAACATAGCTGGTCAAACTAAATAAAATACCATAATTCATAAACATTATAAACAGATAACACGAATCAACTCATCCACAAAATAAATACAACGTCTCAATTACTCAACGATAAATAAAGATCAATCAATTCATATACAAATCGAAATTAGGGCTCAACATCCCCTCAAACTGGATAAAAATTTAACCTGGCATACTAATAAAATTAAAAACTAGATAAAAGATAAATGGGAGAAGATAAAAATATCTCCTTCGTGTAGAGTGCGGCTACCCTCCGTGTAGGATGCTCTCTCCCCAGTCCAGGCGTGACGTCTTCCCCGTGCGTGAGTTCTGTCTTTTTTTTTCTCTCTCTGCTCTCGGTTTTTTCACGTAAATAATGTCTCCCCTTTTCTTTAATTCCTACAGCCCAAAAACAAATAAATCATCTCCCAAGAAGGAGATGATCACGGTTCATCTTCTTTTGGCTGTAGCTTCGGCTCGACACTGGGAGGTCCATCAGATGGATGTTCACAATGCCTTTTTACACGACGACTTGACTAAGAAAGTATATATGAAGCTTCCTCCTGGTTTTCATTCTCCTCGGCGTGGTGAGGTCTGTCGATTGCGTCGTTCTTTGTATGGTTTGAAGCAAGCTCCTTGTTGTTGGTTCGCCAATCTTGCTATTGCTCTTAAGCAATATGGTTTTGCACAGTCTTATTCTGATTATTCTCTGTTCACTTTACATCGTGATTCTGTGCATTTACATGTCTTGGTTTATGTTGATGATCTCATCATTTCTGGGAGTGATCTTGTTGCTATTGTTGCCTTTAAAGAGTACCTGGGTCGATGTTTTCATATGAAGGATTTGAGAGTCCTGAAGTATTTTTTGGGCATTGAGGTTGCTCGGAACACCTCGAGAATTTTCCTATGCCAGAGAAAATACACTCTTGACATTGTTTTCGAGACCGGCTTACTTGGCGGCAA